CGTCCGTGGGCGCCGCGGCGGCGGTCTCGACGGTCTCGCTCGGTTTCGCGGCCGCGGTCGACGGCGCCGGCGGCTTGGGCAGCGCCGGTCTCTTCGCCGCCACGCGCGGCGGGCTGGCCGCAGCTGCAGCAGGCGCCGTGACGTCAGCGGTGACGTCAGCAATGGCAGCGGTGGTTACGTCAGCACTGGCGGCGGGGGTAGGAGTGGTGGTGGTGGACTTGGCCTCGGCCCACTGGGCGGTGGGCTTCTTCTCGCCGAAGCCCTCCGAGTAGTTGCCCTTCGACTTGAACAGCTGCGCAAAGTGCGGCTTGCAGTAGAATGCACCCGACACCGACGCATAGTTCCCTGTGTGTGGCCACGTCATGCCCACGTCAGCACATACGTGCCGTGCGCGTGTGCGGTGATGTGTGTGGTGTGTACCGAGCTTGAGGGTGCTGTTGCAGTGGGCGCAGCGGAAGCAGGCGCGGTGGAACACCTTCTTGTCGACGGACAGGCGCTCGCTAAAGTAGACCTTCTTCGCGCACGCCGCGCACGCCTCGTCGTTGATCTCCCCCGACGACGTCGCATCAGCCGCCGCCGCCGCGGGCGCTGCGGGCTTCTTCGCCCCGCCGGCCGTTGGTCGTCGAGGCGCCGGCTTGGCCTTCACAGGCGCGATCGCTGCGGCGGCAGCCACGGGAGTGGCATTTGCGTCGACGCTGGTGGGCTTGGTGGCTTTCGGGCTGGAGGCGAACTCACGCAGCCGCTCGGCGGCGTAGTCCCGGAGCTGCTTGGCCTCGGCCAGCACCGCCTGCGCCTCGCTCACCTTCTGCGCCCGCCGCTCCCTCTCCTCCCGCTCCCTCGCCTCCTTCTCCTTCACCGCCTCCCGCTTCCTCGCCTCGTTCTCTCGCCTGAGCTGCTCCTCGCGCTCCCTCGCCTCCTTCTCCTTCGCCTCCCGCTCCCGCCTGAGCTGCTCCTCCCTCTCCCTGGCCTCCTTCTCCCGCTGGGCCTGGGCCTGGGCCTGGGCTGCGGCCTTTTTCTCTCTCTTCGGCCTCCTTCTGCTGCTTCTTGAGCTGCTGCTCGTCGTGCCACTTGCGCTCCTTCTCCTCGAGCCCAAAGTCCAGGGTGACGGCGGCCTCGACGGTGGCCGCCGCCGCCGCCGCCGGCTTCTTCTCGGCCGCGGGGGCGGTGATGCCGACGTCGCGCAGGAACTCGTCGGCGTCGCCAAAGTCGAGCTGGCGGGCCTTTCGCGGCTGCGCCGGCGATGCCTTGGTCGTCGTCGGCGTCGCTGGCTTGGCCGCCGCGAAGCCGCCAAAGAGCGGATCGTCGTCCACCTCGGCAAAGAGCGAAGACGAAGACGATGAGGCCTTGGAGGGGGTCTTGGTTGGGGAGGGGGAGGTGAATGAAAAGATGGAGTCGGCGTCGCCGAACAGGGAATCGGCGGCCGACTTCTTCTTGGCGGACCCCGGGGTGCCGGCGGCGCGCCTGGTGGCAGGTGACGTCAGCAGGCTGTCGGCCTCCGCGAAGAGGTCCTCGAACCGCGGCTCCGCCTTCTTCTTCTGCTGCTGTTGCTGTTCGCGCTCGGCCTTTTCGCGCTCCTCTCTGGCCAGCCGCTCGGCCTGTTCTCGCTCGGCCTGTTCTCGCTCGGCTTGCTCCCGTGCGGCCTGTTCGCGCTCGGCCTTTTCGCGCTCTCTCTGGCCAGCCGCTCAGCCTGTCTCGCTCAGCTTGCTCCGTGCGGCCTGTTCGCGCTCGGCCTTCNCGCGCTCCTCCGGCTGCCGCTCGGCCTGTT